ACGGCGTGGGCGTGTATTTGGTGACCGGCTGAGGCTAGAGAAAGTCAACGAAAGGTGCGGACATTGTAGTGAGGATGTACTAGGTCGTACTTGTAGACTCGATGAGACGAAGATAGGGGTCAAACTCGTTGGGAGCGAAATAACGAAGTGGATGAGTAATTTGGATTTTTGCCTCGTGGGCCAACTTCTTTGATATTGCGAAATTTGACTGAACTTGGCTCTGGGAGAATATTTCACTCCCAGGTTCGTAGAGGACACCACGTACAGGTGTTCAGTCTTGCCCTCCGTCTATCTCTCTCTCCTCCCTATCTAGTTCTACAAACTGATTGTGCAGGGATATGCTGCCTAATCATACAACTAAAGCCAAGTGGCAATCATCCCATTTGCAAACGCCAGTAACCTAACCCAATAAATATAACTACAAAGCAAACATTCCGACACTATCATACTTTTTAATCTATATGAGAGGAAAGCTTATGGTGAAAACTCCCCAATCCTTACTGTTTCATGTCTTTATTTTTCTAATTTATCCTTTAGGATGCGCAAATACACTATAGTGCCCACATGCAACACTATCACGTCAGCTTTGTCGACCTCAAGAATGGCATGACCTGTTCCTTTCCCTTAGCAGCATTTTGACCGCCTTTTTCATTTGCAATTGTTCTATCTAACCTTGATTTAGGATCCATCGTGATATCCTTTTGATATCTCCAGGATTGTGTAGTATAGCTTCGTAGGTCCGATCTTTGGCTTGTATCCAAATCTCTCATCTTCCATTTGACTATCGAGGGCAAGACATTATCATGTGCTGGGGTTCTGCGATTGGTAGCTATGTGGACAGCTTGTACTGTAGACTCCGGTAGTTTTCTACATAAATACGAATTGAGCCCCATATGCTGGCTTCATATTTGTATCGCTAGAATGCTTTGGGTTCTTGTCAGGTTTCGGTGGAGTGGAAATGACGATTCCTGGAGACTTATTTTCCATCGATCCGACTATCGGTTCTGATAGAATTTGGCTGCTCCCCTGATCAAAATTCTATATTATCATTTCATATTAAGGAGAGTTCCAATTCCTATACAACTATCAATAAATTCTTGTCCAAACTGTAGACTAGTTCTTTGAGATGATTCCTCCTTGATATCCTTGACAATTTCTAGCGCATAGATCGAAAGCCTGAGAGCTTTGGCATGAGAAGATGGAGTTGAATCCGGGCTCGTGCTTGTGGTAGATGATGCATAACGATCGAAATGAGATTCGTTGCTGGACCAACTTAGACACTCCTTATGCTTGTGGTTTCAGTATGTGTACATCAAGATCGCCGTTCGCCGAGGGTATGAAGATGCCAGGTGATTAATACGAGAGAGACGAAAAGTCGACGAAGCACTACGACGAGAAGTATGCAGAATTGCGAGAAGAATGCTATGATAATTTTATAAGATTGTGAAGCAGAGAACTACTTTTTTGTAGCTCCAGCTTCCTTAAGTCGTGTTACTATCTAACATTATTTAACTTAGACTAATGTAATTTCACATCATAACGCAAACTGTGACATCAACTATATCGATTCCAGTTGGCGCATTATCTGCTCTCACCAAATAAGTGCTAGTGTTGACGGTGAGCCGAATACCTGTTCCGTGAACTTGATCCTCAGATCTGATGTGTATATGTTTTATTGTACTACTTGAGTCTATGACTGTCTAGCACGCTGGGCTCCCCTCTGACCCAGACCACATAGTGTACAGTGCTCCTATCCTCTTTTGTTGCTTGAAAGATCATTGAAATATTCCCCTTGATGAATATCCATTCAGCTCAGTGTTTACCCGTGGAATTCGGCCACCTTTTCCACGGAACCTTCTACCCAAAAAAATAAAATAGTAGCAATGGAAACTGCGTGCTCCGGAAAAATGTCTCAAAAACCCTGCAGCCCCAGCCAGGCGAGGCCTAGACACCGGGACCACATGAGGTGCGCATATTCATCTTTATCTCCCTTCTTTGTAACAGTCGAGGCCGACTTGATCCAATCCACCATCTCCGTATCGGGTGCTGGGTACGCTCCAGGAACTCATCGGATGGCTTTTCCTCCGTGATCAAGGTTTGGTGATGAGTAGGGCTCCGACCCTACCATCTGATCTGATCGTGGTTAGCTTCATGATAATGGTGATAGGGGAATGTGTTGAGAGATGAAGACGACACAGACCGCGAAAGCGATTGGGAATCCTCGTCGAAGTGAGGACTTTGCTACTCAATCTCGGCTCTGCAGACTCTACAGTGAGAGCTGGAGGTTCGTAGGGGATACCGCTGACAGGTGTTGAGAGTAGTCCCCCTCCTCAGATCTTATAAAATGAGGTCACCTTGGGAATCAATACTGACTGCTACTCGTATGTAAATGGAGTATGATCAATAAATACTGCACTTGTAGATAATTGATTGAAATACTTGTGAAGATGCTTCGCAAATTAGAATGTGCTAGAAGAAAGAAAGAAGTACAGGCAGAAGAGGGTTGTGTGTTCTCAATTCAAAGATTGCGGACCACCATGAAATGACACTCTCATGACCCTTAGAGGTACACGAAATTCTCATCCCACCAATCATAGCGCGGCTATTTCTGTTTGTGCAGCAGGCTACGATAACATCCTTATTAAGCGACATAGCATAACGTTTATGCAGGTATGCATATACAATTCTGTGCTATTCCTAGATCACAACATCAGACCTTCTGCTTAGACTCTGGTTCATGAATGTCTCGCCATGACACTAAGGGTAGTATTTCACCTACTCCTGTAAACTAAGCTAGTCAGGAAACATGAAATTCCTATGACTACATAGATTTCATCTGTAGCAGTAGGCCTCTTAAGTCAACGTTTACAATGCTACACCATGTCCCACGTATCTTTCTTAAGACTATCGCACAACGCAGTAATATTATTGAACCACCAGAACCTGACCCGTGACCCGCCATGAATATCTATGACAGTCTATGACCATGTAGGACATGTAAGTTCTCTCTGCCTACAGGCCAAGTATACCAATGCCTCCCATACAGCTCCCCTCAAACAGTACCACCCCTCACAAGTCCTCATTCGATCATTCACTTAGAGGAGCCCTTTGCCCTTCATTATCTTCCCTTTCCAGCCAACGAAACGATGGCCATTTGCGGGTGTACGGCAGCCAGGAAATGCGAAACCAGTGTGTACGGGGCTCTCCTAATACCAACACTAGGACTATATCCGAAGACATAGTGACCCTTCTGAACCGTTCGAAGAGGCCAGCCACCTGGGCACTGTAGACTTGTGGGTACCTCGGGAAATTCACCCTCTGCCTTTCCAGCCTCCTTCCAACTCCTTCACGAAGGTCGTGCTGAAATGTCAGAAAAGCCTTGACAGAGCGTAATTGTTGATTGGTAGCTTAGCCTAGCTTCTTTTGTGCCGTCCAGGGTGCTGGGGAGTGCCGTTGACTCATTGACAATAGAAGCCCTCCTGACTAATTAGCCGAAATCTTGGTCTCAGCGCCCACAAAAGATCCAAAGTTGAAAACCCCTCGAAAATGTCAGTCTCAGCATGGCCTTCAGAGACCAGTTCCTCCTCTCGTTCCACATCTCAGCCGCCTGTCCTTCCTCAAGATGTGAGGCCCCATTAGAGCATCAGTCCCCCATAAACCAAGAGCCCAACCCTGTAAATAATGACTTAATTTCCCCGCGGGTACACGTAGCGTCTTAAATTTGTAGTGAGTGATGGCCGGTGATAAATGAGGCAAGCTCATATTTGCAATTGGGGTGACGCCTTTATTGGTCGCCGAGGCGAGATGATGCGTGGTTAGAGAGATGTTGAGGACTCAGATGGGTATGACAAGAGAGGCGTTGTCGAGAAGTCGTCAAATGGAGATATGCTCGAGTTTGCTTTTGACTTCGATTCGGATGCGATACTTCTTGGAAATCCCAGATATGCAGAGCATACTGAACGATTACACCGGCACCACTGGAAGGTGAAGCATTTGTCTTTGCCAGCCAATGACTGGATTTGTTGTGTTGCTCAGCCGTTAAATCTCCGCAGGTCAGATTTTCAGCCCAAAACCTTGCCGGCGCCTCTCCTGATCACCATGGAGTAAAAAGCTCCCAGATACAACATTTGAAGTGACCGTGTCTCGACCGAATGTAAAAAATTTACACCCTAGGTTACGGTACCTTACCCTGCAGAGATCAATTAGCAACCACATAGGTCGTGGCTAGTTACTAGCTTCTGTGTACTTTGAGACTCTTTTTTATTTGCATCAGAATACTTTAAGACTCTGCAAGGACCGTATTCAATGATTAATTAATAAAATTGATAATACACCCCGTCAAAAATATATTATCACTTTGACATTGGGGTAGTTACTGCAAACTTGCCCCATGAACATGAGATCGGTGTGTATCATCGATACATTGGCCACAGCACTATGGCACGTAAATTCAGGTTATGTGAACATGGAGACTTGAGAGGAGTTTTTCTCTCGCTGTCCAAGATTTATTTTATCACCAAACTTTTTTCCCTCAATTAATTAGGTTGTGACATAAAATTCTCGGGTTGTAAGGGACTGCGACATCACTAAACACTCCGAGAAGCCAGAAGCATTACCTGAATTGTGGAGATCGCTAGATCGTTCCTTCCTTCTCTGGATGAAAACTAAATGCTTCCAAAAACTTTCAAATGGCGTACACTAAAGTTGGAGTTTTCAAGTAGCAACCCTCTGTTATCACAAGAGTGAGTGGGCAGCAATGCAATCACATTTCAATGCTCTCTGTCCTAATCTCATAAACTTATATCAACGAGATACATTACAATTAGCCTACTGAAAGTATCTTACTGAATCAAAATATCACAGCATTTAAGGCTTCGTGATACTAGTAAAAATTGTATCAAGTAAGTCTCCTGAAATCAACAGCCTAACGGAAAGATGCTAAAAGATACCATTTGTTTCTTAAGGCAAGCATAATAGATCAAAGTCTTGTGCGGAATAGCATGGAAAATTTTCTGAATGTTGAGATGGTCTCGAGACCATCTCAAGCCTGCCCATCAGCTCAGGGGAGTCAAACCAACATGCCCATCCCGCATATCAAAATTGAGCCTGGGATATTTGTCAAAGAAGAGTCACCGGATTCTGAAGTTAGTACTTTCACCCGACTTAACTGACGTGATGACTTAAACCTAACAATATAGACTAAAATTACTGTGCTACGAGACCCCTGTCCAGAATTTGGTGGACCCCATTGGCGAAAGGACTGCCGACGGCGCAGAATAGCTGGAAAGAAAAGAGGTAATAAGTGGAGGTCTAAAGCGATGGCTGTGGCTAGGGGACAAGAGTCAAAAGTCTACGGAGATCGTGAGATAGAAAGAAGCGATAATGACGAATCTCTCTACGCCAATGGGCATTTCGCCATTGTTAGGATACCAGATTCTATAATAGAAACGATGAACGAGGACGATTTCGTGAGATACTGCCAGGATTCAGGTATTGTGAAGCCGGGGCTTCAAGTCGGACCTTTATCCAAACAGTTCTGGTCCTTGAGGTAGATTTACTTCATAGGTTTCGTGATTTTAACTAATGACCCTCTAGGTTTGACAACCTTGAGGAGGTCAATTCAATAGTGGGGAAGCACGTTCGCTTCACTATGAATCTGGGGCTAGAGAAGGTAGTCGACCAAAAAATTCTCCCTTACGTGAAAAATGGACCGAAAGCTTTCTACCTGTCAAATGTAGGGCCTTATTCGGACCTGGATATCCAGGGGATGGTAGAGAAAAAGTTTAAAGATGAAAGGTTCTGGATGGGGAAGAAGATGGTGGTTGGGGTTAGCACTCACAGACGATTACTACTTTTCGAGAATAATCAAGCGCTAAATTCCTTTGACCTGGGGATAGACAGAGGATATATCTTACGGTTTAACGCTGTTTGCGGCACCAACCTTTGCGATTTCTGTGGGAAAGGGCATGACGGCGGTACGATATCGTGCACACTTATTCAGTCTTGCAACTCTGGTCCTGATTTACAAACCAGGCTAGTGCAACGGCCTTTTTAATATATCTATATAAATTTGCTGAATTATTTGTGGTGTCTCTTTCACATACAACATATTTTTTGTTGTAATGTTAGCTTATTCATCACTTTTGTAAAGATTTAATGAATTCATATGTACTTGAAAGACAATAATTCGATAGGAATTAATTACTTCTTCCTTGGGAAGACAAACTACCACGTAGTCTCCTATCCGAAATATCCTCTACGTAGACTAGTCTTATCTCTCCACCTTGGCCACCTGAGAATCATCCTTCCTCCCTGGCTCACCTCTTCTCCTGTACCACACTCCCCATCTGGTACGTAAACCCCCCTGAAACCTCCTTCGAAACACCATTCGCATTTCCGGGAGCCCTGCATTGACACAGCTTAACCTCGAAGACGCAGTGGTTCTAGTGACCAGTCCTAATCCAGGCAAAGCGCGTCGCAACTTTCGTTAAATCGCCTCACAAAAATTATCGAGCGGATCATAATAGAGTTGTTGGAAGTTATAATAAGTGGAGCTATCAAGTAGCCCACATTGTTAACAGGATGTGACTGTAAATTATGTACTTAATTCCGCCTCGGTAGTTACTTGACTGAATGCGCTCTACAACTTTAATGACTGAGGGTTTCTGATTTTCTCAATAGTTGTGATAATTCGAGTAAAAAGTTCAATCATGGGAAAATATACTGTCAATGTTGGTGTGACATATAGCTTCTCGTTTGAAGTGTTGAGGTATCAATAATCTGAGTATAAGATACTCCAAGGTACTAGGGGTCATATTCAGTAGAATTCGACGGTGACAAAAAGGGCTGAAAATACAAGTCGTACATTGAATAGCCATGATGGCGTTCGGGGCTTATCAATTATCCATTTCCTTTATTATAGAAAAAAATGATATTGTGATGGGCGATCAACAAAACAATATAGTAAAGGAATGGTGGCCGGTTACTGTCTATTTTCTACAAACATCTCGGAACTGTCCACAGAGGGGAGGCTACTTAAGGTGTCCCAACTCCCAATGCGCTAACCTCACTATCTATTCTACTACACCATATCCTTGATATCCCGAATGGGCTCGTCATAGCGAAACTGGGTCGTATCGGCCCATGATTCCATATGAGACTTGCTGCAACAATATCTTGTTTCCATATTTGTTGCAACCCTGTATTTGTATGGCCAAGTTGGACATCTCTTTAGATAGCAAGGCGAATGACGTAATAATGATAAGTGTCCGTGCGACAGTCACTAGGAGATAGGCGCAGCCTGTAACAGATATACCATCATTAAGTATGAAATTAACAAGATAGATTAGAAGTCTTTGGAGTTTGCGTATTGTGGGTTTATTATGCTACTTGTGACTCTTCATAAAGATACGTGGGACACAATGCAGCATTGTAAACGTTGAATTAAGAGGCCTATTGCTACAGATATAATCTATGTAGTCATAGGAAGTTCATGTATCCTGACTAGCTTAGTTTACTTGAGTAGTTGGAATGGTTTGTTTATTCATTTACGTGCTAGGTATAGTGATTCCCGCCGCAATCCAACTAGAGCTTAAGCACGATTGGGGCCGGGCCGTATCAGGTTAACTACCGTGAAGTACAGATAAACCTCATCCCATCTAAATGACAGGACCACCTCAGATTTCACCTATGTGTTGAAACATACCAAGCCTGAACGTCCAGAAGCCCGCTGTATAAACGCCGTTGCGTAAATTCCTCCTCAGCCTCGGCCACCGCGCGCCCGAGCCCTTGATATCCTCATTGACTCCGAAATATAAAAGTGGATATCCGTCTCAGAATATCAAATATCTGGCCTTGACATGTCCTGAGTGGGCAATGGGAAGGGGAAAGATGCTTCGAAAGGCAAAAGATAGATCCATAACGGCAATGATGAACAGCCCAGATGATATGGAGAGAATCACAAAATGGATCCTGGCAAAAGGCTGGTTTGAACGATTCTGGCTTGCGGGAGAAGCAGAAATTGCAATGGACGAAAAGATGAGAGGTTCAGGAATAGGATAGTACGGAATTCACACTGGATAAACTGTGTAAACGCACTTCCTGTAGGAAACCTCAGAAAGCCAATAGGCACGAGACAGACAATTTATGGGTGGTTTTACCGAACTTGGTTTCCTCCTGTGTAAATATTATGGCTAGATATACCTGAACGGGCTAGATGAAATCAAATCAAATACAATTTTGCCACTTTCTCATTTGATCTATCAACTCCAGTCCTAATACATCTAGAGTGATATGTCGCAAGAGTCCAACTACTCTTATAACACTTCCCAAATAATTATGTAATTTTTAGAGCTATGACTGTCTACAGTCTCTTATGGATGGCAAAGGTAAAATTTTCAAAATGACTGGGGTTTGATCCCTGTGCCCATTGATTAGATTGGTTTAGTCTTCATGCAAGCCCGTGTCTAGTTCGTCGACTAGTTATGCAAGCCAGGAGTACTATCCAATGACATTCCGTGAAAGTCTAAATTATGGAGATGGTTTTCAACTCAATGGTCCTCATATGAAATTCAAAATTAAAAAAATCAATTGATATTCTCTAAAAATGCACATCCATTTCAAAAATTATTGCTCTGTATTACAAAAGTCTACATCGAAGCTCTCAGTATGGCTCGCGACTAAAATAAAAGCGTACTACATATTTTGTATTAGTCTTCTCCATCCTAATACTTTGTGTACCCTCCATTTGCCTTTAACACTGCTACACATCTTTCGTGCATGCTGCCAACTAGTGACAATAGCTCCCCTGAAGGTATAGAGTCCCATGCATCCTGTAGCAATGTCTTCAAAGTGGCAGAGCGCACAAGCCTGACCCCATTTTTCTCAGGACTGTTTACCTGACTGTGGTTTTTTAAGATGTTCCACAATGACTCGATCGGGTTCAGGTCCGGAGAGTAAGTTAGCCGTCTGACAGGCGTTTTACAACTTCACGCAGCGCCTAAATTGTTGGGTACACTTTATGACATGGTACGTTGTCGTGCATGTATAGAATTTCCGATTTTTCCGAGTGAAATTGATTCAAAAGTGGCAAAAAACTTTCACAAGAAGATGAGGCCCTCATTGATCCCCAATCCTTCTCCCAGACTAGGAATGGGTCTTTTTGTGATCCGTGAAATGATCCCGGAAATATCCAGCTGTTCCCATGAGCATGACGAACCACAATACAAGTCTCATCATCAGGCTAAACTCTGCTGTTAGTACAAGGAAGGTTTTGATAGAATTTATACGTGCTTTTCCTGTGACACGAGGTTACATATGAGAATCACCCGATACTCAGGTTTCGTCAGTCCATAATATGCGACTCCATTGTTCATCGCTCCAATCTATATGTAATCGGGCGAGCTCCAATCTTTTCTGCTTGTTCATCGCGCTTAACGGAGGCTTCTTCCAAGCAATGCATCTGCTGTAACCTCTTTTTTTGAGTGCATAGAAATTAGAGGTTCACAGCATCCCCAGGGGTTGAAGGGCCCCATGGCTAGTTCCAAATAGCACATCTGTCAGTTTTCAGGAGACTCCCGGACGAAAGCCTCAAGCTCATCAACTTGTTCCACGCTTAATTTTGGTAAGGGTTCTTTGCGAGACAGAGGATTCTCAGTCTCTCGAGCGCACGCAAGTTGCACTTGCCTTCTTGTGAAGCCAAGTTCGTCGGATATATGTTGTATTGTTGTAATGTCAAGCCAAGTCTTCTTAATGCTCTTATTTCAATACATTGATCGCGAGTTAGATGCTTGCGAACTTTAGTTTCCGAAGCAGACTTTTGGAGAGATATTGTTTGCTAGAAGTGAGAATGAATTGATAGTGATGTTAAGTTTCAAGTACTGTGTAGGTCAGGCAGCCAAAAGTGTCGTTGAACATGTGTTTCTCTAAGCGGTTGTTGGAAGAAGACGATTGGACCATCTTTATGGCGAGCGGGGTAAGGAGGGGAGACATACTAACCTATTACGAGCTAGCCCAACTACACCTACAGGGCTAATCCCTTAAACGACCCAGTTTGAAGTTTACCTTTTCCAACCCAGAGACACTGTAACACACTGGGCTCTTCTCTGACCCAGGCCATACCTTGCACAGAGCTCCTTGCCTCTTTTTTTTATTGAAAGATCATTGATATGCTGGCCGTGATGGATACCCAGCCAGCTCAGTATCTACTCGTGGAATTCGGCAAACTTTTCCACGGAACCCTACACCCAAAAAAATAAAATAGTAGCAATGGAAACTGCGTGCGCGGGAATAAGTATCAAAAATCCTGCAGCCCCAGCCAGGAAAGGCCTAGACTACGGGACCACATGATGTGCGCATGTTCATCTTTACCTCCCTTCTCTTTAACATTCGAGGACAAGTTGATCCAATTCACCATTTCCGTATCGGGTGCTGGGTACACTCCGGAAACTCGTGGGGTAGCTTTCCTTCCATGATCAAGGGTTGGTGACGAGAAGGGCTTCGACCCTACCATTTGATCTGATCGTGATTAGCTTCATGATAGTTGTGATTGGGAGATGTGTTAAGGGATCAAGACGGTATAAACTGTGAAAGCGACTGGGAATCTTCATCGAAGTGAGGTGTTTGTGACTCAATCTCGGCTCTGAGGAATCAACACTGAGAGCTGAAGGTTCGCAGGGGACACCACTGACAGGTATTGGGAATAGTCCCACAAAAGTCACCATAACTTTGCAGTGCTAATTGCAAACAAATTCCGAAGCATGAGTGCTCTTCTTTTAAATTGAGTCACTTGTTATGTACCTTTTCCCTGATGTTATGTAAAGCTAGATAGCGGCATACACATTTAAATTTGATGCAAAAAAAGGGTTGAGTTCGCACTACTCCGTTGTCTGGGACGGAAGCATGATGAACGGGACTTGTCTGTATTACCACTCAACGAGACAATAAACGGGCGCTGTTTTTGGACATTTTACAATTCTATCGGATAAACAAATGTAAAAAAAACTTTGAGCGATACTACTTTTTGTTCAGTTCATGTTGTAATTATTTAGATAGCTATAAAAATGTAGCATTACTTGTTTGGCTTACAACCTCAACTCATGCTCCTCGAATAGACTGATCCATTCACCGGCAGCAAGCCCCCTGGTTCGGGGCTACTTAGGTCAGCAGCGCGCAGTTAATTAATTCATTTTATTGTCCTGTCTGAGTCTATGACTATGTAGGACATGCAGGTCCTCTCTGCCTACAGGCCAAGAATACCTCTATCAGTAGTATATCCCCTCCTACGCCTCCCATACAGCTCCCCTCAAACAGTACCATCCCTCAAAAGTCCTCATTAGATCATTCACTTAGAGGAGCCCTTTGCCCTTCAAAATATCCCCTCTCCAGCCGACGAAAAGATGGCCATTTGCGAGTGTATGGCAGTCGGGAAATGCGAAACCAGTGTGTACGGGGCTCTCCTAATACCAACACTAGGACTATATCCGAAGACATAGTGACCCTTCTGAACCGTTCGAAGAGGCCGGCCACCTGGGCACTGTAGACTTGTGGGTACCTCGGGAAATTCACCCTCTGCCTTTCCAGCCTCCTTCCAACTCCTTCACGAAGGTCGTGCTGAAATGTCAGAAAAGCCTTGACAGAGCGTAATTGTTGATTGGTAGCTTAGCCTAGCTTCTTTTGTGCCGTCCAGGGTGCTGGGGAGTGCCGTTGACTCATTGACAATAGAAGCCCTCCTGGCTAATTAGCCGAAATCTTGGTCTCAGCGCCCACAAAAGATCCAAAGTTGAAAACCCCTCGAAAATGTCAGTCTCAGCATGGCCTTCAGAGACCAGTTCCTCCTCTCGTTCCACATCTCAGCCGCCTGTCCTTCCTCAAGATGTGAGGCCCCATTAGAGCATCAGTCCCCCATAAACCAAGACCCCAACTTTGTATATTATGACTTAATTTCCCCGCGGGTACACGTAGCGTCTTAAATTTGTAGTGAGTGATGGCCGGTGATAAATGAGGCAAGCTCATATTTGCAATTGGGGTAACGCGTTTATTGGTCGCCGAGGCGAGATGATGCGTGGTTAGAAAGAGGTTGAGGACTCAGAAGATAATGATGAGTGCCACATGATTGACAAGTCGTCAAATGGAGATATGCATGTATTTGCTTTCGACTTCGATTTGGATGCGATTCTTCTTGGCTATCCCAGATATGCAGAGCATACTGAGCGATTACACCGGCACCACTGGAAGGTGAAGAATTCGTCTTTGACGTTAGCAGCGCGCAGTTAGTGACTGGAAGTATTGCACCAGCTTGCTCTGAGATCTAGAGAGTCGCCATAATACATTACATTGTGCTTCGAACTCCAAGTAGGCCAGAAAGCTCCATCCATAACTGTTACAGAGCCCTACTTGACACTATACCAGAATGGTGCTCTATACTTAATGTTCGCTAAAGGTTACGGAAACTTCCACTTTCGAAAGCCCATTCTGCCAGGTCTTACCAGGTCTGGCCAGAATAATAAATCACAGTTTCATCTGATATAGATAGACAGGATCTCACCGGAGACTATGCATACCTACGTCTTTGGCTCGTCAAGCCGACCAGCGAAATCTACAAATTTATTCGCCAAATTAGTAGGAAGCAGACCGATTATTGGCGGTGCTGGATTGACTTTAGGAGCAGATCTAATTTTGGTAGCTGGCCCTAATAAGATGATACCAGATGACTCTAAAGCTGATCACTCTCTTAGACTAGGATCAAGTAAGTCATCTCAAGCTACCTGTGATTGTTGGAAATATCGCGCAATGAAATGGCCGCAACATTTACGGGACGAAAGTAGAAGTTGACCAAATGAGTGTCATTTTCGGATTGAAGCTAAAAGTGTAGGATTTGTGCGCTATAAGTACAAGTGTAGGAGGGCAAGACAAAATACCTGTACGCGGTGCCTTCCACGAACCTAGAAGTGAGGTATTCTCTCAGAGCCCAGTTCATTCAAAATTCGCCGTACCGAACAAGTTGGCCTACGAAGCAATGATTCAAAATACTCCACCAGTTAAATTTTCGCTCCCAAAGAGTCGGACTTATGCACAAGCCTAACCAAGTCTACAAGTACGGCCTAGTACGTCCTCATCTCAAAGACCACGCCTCTTGTCGATTTTCTCTGGCCTCAGCTGGTCACCAATACACGCCCACGTCGATATTTACATCCGATGGAGGAAAAAAAGCGTGGCGCACAAATCTGGGAGACAGTTCTTTGGGATGGGCGTGAGAGGTATCAGGACAAGTTCACAAATACTGTAGAGGATGGACGTAACCTCGATGACCGTGATTATGACATTTCGGCAAGGAGTTTTAACAAAAAGAGCTTTGTGCGTGCAGGGGCTTCGGTTTCGAGAATGCAGGCAACACTGTAAACATCGCCATGGTTAGATGGTGCTGTGGTACATTGTCTTGACTGGTCTGCCAATTAAAGTCAGGATAGCTTAGACACATGTCCCACACGAGACAGTAGACCGCTGGTTCGAATCCGACAAAACACAATCACATTTCTCGCGGCGCTGGTTTATGTGGATGACAAAAGCATGCTTGGTCGATCAAAGGTTTTGAATTTACCTTTAGTGGGTATTCATGGAGGAGGTTTGGTTTGGTTTTTTCATTAAAGTCCTAGGTTAAGTGACTACCGTTGCACTCCTACTTGAGCTTAACCACGAGTGAGGCCGGGCTAGATAAGGTTAACTACCATTAAGTTCATCTACCTCGTCCCACCTCAGACTTCACCTATGTGTTGAATCATGTCAAGCCCAACCGTCCAAAGAATCCCCTTTTGACGCGCCGAAGCGCAAATTCCTCCTTAGCCTCGGCCACAACGTGCCCAAGCCCTTGACACCTTCGCGATCTGCAACTTTTCCGTCCAATTCAGTCTTAGCTTTGGCTCATCTCAGTATTTCCTCATCTCATCTAGGGCTCTTTTTTTTCATTGGAGGCCTCATCCAGTCGCCCACCAAGTCTTCCTCAGTTTATATTCCCTTTTATTCCTTCATGTAGAATCCCTTTGTCCTTTGGCTAGCCTCGTCATCCAAGAAACTTTGTAGCATGTTCACCCCTCCGGCCTTGCACCGACGCTGCCGTACCCCTAGCTGTGTACATGGAAAACACGACTGAGAGTTCAAGACCGAGGCACCGGTGCCCCAGCCCTTATCGAACGCTCTAGTTGGTGTGCCGGCTAAATGTCGTACGTATTTCGTCGGTGGCGATTCGTCGCAGGTCAAGTTGTTGGCGCCCTTGGCTGAGATGAGGACGCATTTAATGCCCGTTTTTCGACCGTACCTTCACTGTGACTGGCAGTTGCGGAGGGTCGGCATCCTCTTACTTCTATGTTGGCGATTTGACTTTCGGAGGTATGGGATTGCTTTGGTAGGTGATGAGATGATGTGGAGCGGGTCGCGAGATGAGTTTGGCTAGGATTGGTTTCCCAGTTAATATATTTTTAGATCTTGATGGTGCCTGTTTTTGTAATACAAACATCAGAAAGGTTTTAGCCTGTCTGTGGTTTGTATCTGGGGTGGAGATTGTTGATTTCGTTGAGTTGTGCAATCGTGAAATCTCTGCTAGTCGGTTTTCGACCAAAAACGAGCCAACACCACTCATCCCGATCGCCAACTCGACGAAAGCTCTCGAATTCACCCTTTGTCGTGGCTCAATCTCGGCTCTGGGGGAATATTTCACCCCCAAGTTCGTAGAGGACACCACTGACAGGTGTTCAACCTTTATCCTCTATGCAGCTGTGAGGATCAGTCTCCAAGTTATGACAGCAAGTAGTCAGGTTTACACTTAAGGAGGCTGTTTGTAGGTTGTACGATAAGATGAAATAATTCATCTCAGAGATAAGGCACTGTTTATTCATTGCAAACTGGCAGGAAAGATGTATTGGTGTGGGTGACGGATATGAGATTGGGGTTTCTGGAGTGACGGAATTTCGGAGCAACCAATACCATAGAACAGTTATCGTCAAAGTTGTCGCTCATTTCATCGACTCCGGCGACACTCCAGCCGGCCGCTGGAACTTTCATATATGTATCGGGAAATGCAAGGGGCCGATCCTTTAATAGATGAAGATGAAAGTTTATTCATGACGGGTACAAACCCTGCACTCAAAGAACATGACACAGAGAAGACTAGCTTCTCCGGCGAATATATACGACAATAACTCAGGTTAACATTTGGACCACTCATGTAGTGGGTGCATTAAATGATGCCATCCGAGACTCTTGAGCTAGAGACCATCACCCTTCCCTCAATCATTGATATCCACCAAAGGGAAAACAGGAAAAACCTTTAGCTACCCTAACATGCCTTTGCCATCTGATATATAGCCGCCGCGCGAAATATGGCCTCGGAGTCCTCCCTTTCTCGAGTGAGGTAGGTGTCCAGGCTACCCAGACTTTAATTCGGAGAAATGACGACCAGGAGGCGGACCAAAACACCTTCCATCGTTGCCTGTTTTTAGAGTGTCAGTTGCACTATCCAAAACCGTTGCTTCTGCACCCACAGACAATCTTAAATTGAAGACACTCGTTCGTCCCACGTCCCAGCTGACTGTCCTCCCTTAAGATGAGAAGCCCCATTAGAGCAACGGTTCCCTATAGACCAAGACCCGAGCTTTGTAGATTATGACTTAATTTCCTCCTCGCGGGTATACATGGCATCGTAAATTTGTAGTGGGAGATGGCCGATTTTTGATGGGGCAAATGCCAGATTGCAACTAGAGTAGCGCCATTGTCAGTATTTGTGGCGAGGTGGTGTAGTAAGATTGAGGTGGAGGACTCGCGTGAGAATAATAGATCCGACATTGACGAGAAGTCGTCGATTTTAGATATGCTTGAGAATGCTTTCGACTTCGATTTGGATGCGATTCTTCTTGGCTATCCCAGATGTGCAGAGCATACTGAGCAATTACACCGGCACCACTGGAAGGCGAATATTCGTTTTTCCCGGTGATCTTTTGATAGATTTAGGCTACAGATGAATATGAATAAAGGATCGTCATTACTCGAGACTCGCCAGATGACACGATTAGGCCAAGCCAATCTGCGGTCATATGACCTAATGGTCCAAGTTCCAGCCTTCTTACCTAAAAAAGTCTTTCATCGTCGTTGAGGCTTGGTAGATTTAGTCACATTGCTCGCGGTGTGGCCCTACAATAAGACGGAGGCCTTTAACTAACAGAATATCACTAGTCGGCCCTTGATGTAATCTCGTTGCCAAGACCAAAGCCTAATGAATATCAGGCTTCAACTTATTAGTGATGGCGGTTGAGGTCCGCGAAAAGTTTCTCCAACATGCCACACAAATATGTAAAAATTCCATTCATCATGTATCATCGTGAGTTGCCTGAAAACCCATAGCGAAATTGAAGCTACAGTTCTCGTCCCTCGTATTCCAAGTGAACAGGCTTCTTATTTTCTTTTTCCAGTTTTCATCGAATGTCACGTCCCTGTTCAGAAAACTTCGACTAGGAATCTCAGACCTGGTATCGGAGATCGCCGGATGGTCGGACTAGAGTCCCGAGCATGCAACGATCCAAGTCTGACAATTTTCCGGATCCGATTGCCCCTTGCTCCAGTCAGATCCCCTCAGCTCGCAACCGCCCACACATCATAGGCGTTTCATTTCTTTCTTGCTCGACGACATTTCTCGCATCTGTCGATTTCTTCACGATCTTGGTCAAACCTGCCGCCAATTCCGCTCCGACAGCACCTTGATCCAATAGGAATAACTCGCTACAGACAGACATCTAGCCATATTTCATGTAAGCCAATCATGTTCTTGTAACGGCTTATCCATGCTATACAGGCACATCTGATGCATCACGTTTCACCAGACATTCCGGTTTCGTGATTTAAAATCTGTGGTACACAGAGCCTAGTATCTATATCCTGCCTCAAAATAATTATTGCATTATTCGACGGATATGAGTAGCCATAGCAATCTTTGTGCAGCGCTCGACTGTCAAGATATGTAATCAGGATAATATAGCTCCATCTTCCCCCTTACCACACAAATGCTCGTTATATGTAATATAAAACAGCCAATATACAAACCAGTCGCCCTAATCCCCTTGTAATCGTATCCCCAGAACCGACGCCGAATTTAAGCTAGCTGTGTGAATGCTCACTCAGTGTGTGACATCATCCAACAAGGCAATATGCAAGAACTGACATGCTAATATGTTGTTTGCAATCAAAATTTGTATCCTTTCCACTTGTCCGCACTGGCCGGCGCACCAGATTACCTTCGCCATCCCACGTTCCATATAACGTGAGCAATATCTTTTGCCGTATTTACCGTATCCACAACCCTACCAAAAAGTCCGTCAGACGTAACTTCCTCTTCTTCTTCATACGGCATAAACATTCCCGAAGATGTACGCCGTAGTGGTGAATGTCCGTCGCCAGTAAGGTCAAGAGATGAAGCTAGAGGACTAGAACTTATTAATCCAACTTTCGGTATTTCGAGGTCTTTGTTTCCACATGACATATCGCTTGGTGGTTCCCAGTTCATATCATCGTCGTGATCATCATCATCGTCTGCAAATAACATCATCGTGGAAGGCTTGGACGGCCGTAATATTTCTAGAGGCTGAGATGAAGCAGAAGGTAGCTTTATTTCATCTTGAATATCGTGGAAATTGCTAACTTCCATTTCAAGAATGTCAGGCGTATCAGGCCTATATTTTAGAGTTGTCGATGGTAACATAGCAATAGTCTTGCTTTCCTGGTTTGGGCTAGCACATGGCTTTTTTCTACTCTTCATTGGCGGAAGCCTACGTTTCGAATTACTCGGCTTCATCATAATCCCCCCATCATCTGAGTCACTATCATTGTAATCATCAACTAAAATCTCTTCGTCGTCATCACCCTTTACCTCGAGAGCAATACATTGCTCTACTTGCTCATTGAAGTGTATACGTTTTTTATCCCCGTTGGATGGAGATGGTAGATCTGATGACGACATAGATGATATATAGCTTGGATGAAGGCCCGTTGAGCGTCGAGTAGATAGAGCGTATACAAACGATTTAGAAGGACAGTTCAGTCGAACACAGTTATCTGGTCTCTCGGTCTGCTGAGCTTGTACAGCTGCTGCCGCTTGTTTAAGTAGTGACGAAGAGGAAAGTGATTTTTGAAGCATTATTTCAGACATGCTTCGTTTCTTTAAAATGGGCTTTTTGTTGAGAAATGAGTTTGTTTTTGACATCCTACTGTCACCCAGATGGCGCGGCGAGGGTAGGTCGAACGGACAGTGTGAACCAGGTTGGAGCGGGCCGTAGAGCCAGGTTACATCACAGTCTTTTAACCTATAATTCGTTAGCATTATAACATGACGAATTCATATTTGAGAATGACAAAATGAGCCTACCAATTGAGGGTTTCAGGTGATACTGTTTTAAGCTTATATTTCGCCTTGATCCAAGTTCGCCACGAAGCATTTTCGAGCCGTGCGCTATTATTGTAGGCTTTGCGTTTCGATACAATATACTTCCACGAGGACCAAATGTCTTCTTCTCGCCAGTTATGAGAAAGATAATCTACGTGCCTTGAGGGTTGAATACGAATAGCCGTGTCGTCCTCAGCATGTTCGACTAGCTCAGGAGACTCTGGCCTAGAGTGAGTAGTCAGCGGACTATTAGAAACTGGAGATAACGTAGGTGTGACTGTGTAAGAGTCTTCAGTGCAGGGACTTGTTGGCGATTCAAAATAGTTCGCTTGTTGATATTGATCGACATCTTCGTAGGAAGGGAATACAACCTGATTTTCTTCTTCGTCGTCAATACGGCGAGGTAATTGAGGTATGTTACTCCTGGCTGTAAATGAACATGATGCTCTATTTGTATGAAATATCCGTGGGGATGATGCTTCCAACGATGAAGGTGTTCTAGGTAACACGATTAGAGGAAACCCATTAATACTATTACATCGAGATGGAGATTTCGGAAGCGTTGATGACGTTGTCACAAATTTAGGCTGAGAATGCGAGCGATGTAGCGGACCTGATGAAAAATAGCTGTTCTCTTCGGAATTTAGCACAACCGCCATCTCGTGGTAGACTTTCTGACCACTTTACCGCCCTTAAATTCTTGTCAGCTGCAGGCAATGGACGAATTACTTCGCTCAAACTTGGATTCGGGATAATGGTTGAGGCCCTCGAGTCGTGAAGCTATGGCCTCGCTATCACAATTTTGAATACAGACCTCTGTCATTCAGGGGTGTATTGATGTTATACTCCTTCTTATTGGTTATTGTTGAAATTTAATAGATCGCTGTTGGTTGCTTTCTGAAGTGAACAGGAGGAGATAAGAGAGTAAAGACAATGTTTGGAAGCAGGACGAGAGCGGACTTGACTCAGATCAGGTGAGCGGAAGATTGACTAGAGGCCGGGAGAAGAGTTGCTGGAAACGATGGATGGAGTGTGAAGGATTAGAGCGACCGTCAGGCTGTATTCGCTGCTGGATATGGGAAATAAGGAAGAGAATTGTGATTTCATCAGACCCACGAGTTTGTCAAAGGGTGGTGTTTTTGAAAATGGGGATGAAACGAGCGCGGGTAAGCGGAGCGGCAAAAATCAGATAGGGATCCAGAACTCAAAAGAAAGCAAGCACGATCAACTTTCTCACCCCTTCGGCTAGAGATTCGAGATGGCCTCAGGCCTATAGGAGGACTGTGGAGATGTTTAGCAAGGATGATGAAGTATGAGGGGGTCCCCAGGTCTCTTTGTAGGTGGACTCACTCGGTCTTGAGGATTACCTTTTACCCCTGGTGATTAGTCCCTGTTGCCCCCCCTCTTGAATTGCGAGGCGCCTCAGCCCGGAACTTCCCCATGACCAAATCCCCTCCTTCCCCAGATCTCAATCCAGGCGCATCAGTACCAGAGCCACAGTCCTTCCGGCACGAAGAGGAGGAGCCTCCATGAGACAGGATGACAAGGGCACTTACCGACATCAGCTAATTCTTCGCCGCCGCCGCCGCCTCGGCTTGCTCGTACCGTCACTCCAAGCAAAATTCATGATCAGCAGGTTTAGGGTATGGAGATAGGTTTGGTACTATGGTCGCAGTCCGATCGAAAACGATACCGGACACGGCATTGGAGGACAACATAGACTTGGACCAGCAGTTATACAACTGCTTCAGCCATCCAAATCATCCGTGCCTCTACTGACACAAACCCAAACATCACAGCACAGTCCAAGCCGTGCCGAACTTCAGATTTGTCAAGATATGTACTATTAATTTTTGCGAGCAGGTCTAGGGAGACGATGGATAGAAGGAACTTGAATTTCACATCGTGCTAAAGTTACAAACGGTCCCGAGACTCTTATCCCATGGCCGGATCAATTGGGGTATCAGTTCGTCGGCCAACGAAGTCGCGATTAAACGACAGCAATATAGGCAGTCGATTCGAGTGGAAAATAGACCTCTCGCATTGCTGTGGAAAATGCCCTAAGCACACCAGAGCAGGGTTCGCTGGTTTTCGGCACAGATATGCGCTTCCAAACTTCCGAACCTTAGAGTGCAGCAAATTATTGGTGTCGTAGCAACCGTTCGGGCACATGAGACCTGGCGGTGAAAAGCCCAAATACTCATTGGATAGGTCTGTCGACTAACTCGGCAGATGATTCTATCATCATCAGACACGGCAAGCCAGGGCTTGAAGAGCTAGTGGGGTGTGGCGGGAATGATACTCTGTATCAAGGCATTCTGTGAATCTTAAGCGCTTCAATGTGGGATTGTCGAACGGTGAGATGAGTCTAGCACCAAGCATTTGGCACGTATTGTTGAGAGTACGGGTGATTCAAGGCCCAAGTTGCATGCATTCACAAGGGTCTAACAGATGCTAATTGCATTGGTTATCGTGAACAGCTCCTACTCAAATTGCCCAGCATTGATCGATATTTCTACTGTGCGTCTACCATTAAGCTACTTCGATGGAAGAAAGTGGCACAGAAATAGAGCCTTCCTATTGGCGACACAGGTCCTACACAGTCTAACGGCCACCTTGCGGCCAACGGCTTTATCTTTAGATTTTACAGAGCATTATGGGCAATAGCCGGTCAATATGGTTAGGACCGAGCTTTCGCGAGATCGAATGTCGGGGCCAAGTCGCGAGACTGATGGCAGTGAGTGGTTTCCTGTGATGGCAGCGACGAAGTGAAATGACCTGGATAAAAAATCATTACGCTTGTCGCACACAATGAAACCAACCTTGAGATGGACGCCTCGAATCAGTAGAACGCAAGGGTTTGGCAGTACTGATGGCGTTGAGCGTCGCACGCTTCTTTTCCTTGATGGGCAACATGTCGTACAGCGTGAGCCAAACCCCGACTCCTACTAGTCATCTCGGGATGGAGCCAAAGACGTGCATCTGAAACCAGTCCTTTTTTCACGTGACACTTTGGACAGGAAAGCGAAAGCGAGAGGTGCAGACGTCATGCTGACTCGGGGATGTGGTAGTGTATGGCCAGGGCTCCGGAAGGTGGGGTCCCGCGCAAAGGGTGTCACTCAGCTCCCATTTTGTGCCTTTAGGTTTCCGCATCTACCAACAATAAAGTTGCATGTAAACGATCTATCATGATTTTACCGACCGAACCGGCGCGAGTGTTGGCGCTGGATAGCCTTGCGCGAATGTAAGGAAGCGCGTGGTCCTGCATGCTTCATGAAATCTTACAAGAATTTAAACGTCTGTCTCTCTCAAGGATTTACGAACTTGGGACTCAGGTGGGGTAGTCTACACTTGTTTTTCATGCTGCGGCAGATCAGCGACCAGGTGATACGTTGGTAACTTCAATTCGTCTGGCAAGCTCACAGCTATATCTTTCCTGAGCGTGGCCCGAGGACATGGTAAAACGAAGAAAGCTGGAAGCTGGAGGTCACGCCGAAAAGCAGACACGATCAGCGATTAGACCGGGTATTTCGGATGTCTTACGTTAGATTCCAGATGTCACTGATTCACGCCGTTCACCCGGACGAGGTGTTAAGTGCGAGATTTCAATATCCGTCGTCGTCGCCGTAGTATCTATGTGTGTGAGTTTTTTGTGCTACTTGAATGATAGACTATCTGACACATTGGACTCATTTAAGATCCAGGCTACACTTTTTACAGTACCTCTAGCCTCTTTTTTAAACGAAAAATTAACTGATATATTGCCCGTGATGCATAGCCGTCCAGATAAATATTTATCCGTGGAATTCAGCCACCTTTTCCTTGGAACCATTTACCCAAAAAAAAAAGGCAGCAGTGGAAAATGCGTGCCCAGGAAAAAGTCAAAAAAAAACTGCAGCCCTAGCTACGCGAGGCCTAGACATCGGGACCACACGAGGTGCGCATATTCATCTACATCTCCCTTCTGTGTAAAAGTTAAGGCCAACTTGTTCAAATCAACCATCGTCAATTCGGCAAAAAGTTGAGCTCCGGATACTTATCGGATGGCTCCCCTTCCATGATCAAGGATGGGTGTCGTCACCGAAGTAGTTGCTTGGTCGACCACAAGTACCCTCTCATCCGCTCTGCCGCGCATTTCGGCTTCTGTGCATGGGTGAAGGAAATGTTAGTTAAGGAACCTCTCCCTGGTCCACTTGTTCCTTGCAATTCGAATGGACGCTTTTTTCTTTTTCCAGCTCATGATACGTGCGAGGCATGATCCCTGCCGAAAGTCACCCTTGCACGATTCGACTCAAGCCTTAGAGGTGCCTGGTATATCCGGGGAAAAAAAGTAAGTTGGAGCAGAAAATGGATATGGAAAGGGGGCCGGGGAACTGCAGTTTGTCGTGCGCGTCGGCCAGGCCATTAATGTCGTTTAATGCGTCGACGCCTCAACATCAAGCCCACCCATAACAGCAAGTGGTCAGCGAGTCGAGTCATGATTTAAAGGCCTCCTTGTTTCCGGTCGGGTTTAAATTGAGATTCCCGTTGCCCCCGGCTCTGTACCTGTCTCGGTCCCTTGGGCTTTGAGAGTTATCGCCGAAACATTGGAGGCGTGGGGTAAGACGCCCGAGGAAGCATGGTAGAAAACGCTCGTCATCAAGTTGGTCGAGAGGAATGGTCAACAACCGCAATCTTTACTCTGAAACAGGCGTGTGCGACATATATGGGTCTCCTTGAAGCGTTAGCAGTTGTTACCTGTTCAGGTAGATTAGCTGAGCTTGACTAACTGACCCATTTTCAGCCTTCGGCCCTAGAATGATTGTGCTTGCGCGCACCCACATTAAACGCCTGCTACCCCTACACCGACGGAGGCGACAGTTTAGAGGAAAAGGGATCGCTGTCATCGCTTTATCTTCACCTGACCTTGGCGGCCTGTGAGCACGAGTTGCTCGCTCGGTACCCTCGCGGTCAGCACGACGTTAAATAATAATAATAATAATAAAAAAAGGTACCCTCGCGGTCCACTTGGTGTTGGGCAAGACAGATGTAAGCATGGAGATTTAAATTCTTTGCGCCTTGACCATAGTTCGGGACACCATTGTTGCCCTACATGACTGTTTGGCAGAGCGATGGACGGGCTCAGAGCTCGTTCGTTTATGTTCTGAAATTGCCCTTGCCCTGTACCGACTCGCAGAAGATCGCATCGCATTGCTTCGAGCCGTCAACAAGTTACTAGTCTGTCCTTACCTCGCAGTCAGTAGTCATGTGCTGACGTCGGCGAGGGCGGCTCTTCCCACTACAATTGCTGTGCATAGATTGATTTTCTCGAGTCTCCGGCATGATGCTAGGAACGCAGGTGTAGGGGTGGACTAGACCTCGGCCCTGTGCATTGGCCACTTATACCCCGCAAATAACCATAAGCGATCAAGGACCTCTCTCTGACCAATGGTTGGACGAAAGCGGCGTTTCACGTGGTCATCAGCCCCACCAGTTGACGCGATGAGAGAGAATGGGTGTCCGATGGCCCACTTGCCCAAACTCAACGATTACGACGGAATATTGGATTGAATTGATGAAGCAGAAGCTCAATCAGGTTGCTAGGCTAATTCCTATCTATCGTAGAGAATGCAAAACTGACAGCATCCAGTGCGCATCGCTGATCTTCCGCCCAAATACACAACTCACGTGATACGAGACGTGTATATATCCTAAAGGTGAGGTCCGAACGCAGCCAAATGGCAGTGCGAGGAGGATGAGCGATATGGTGGAGCTGATGATGCTCGTACGGTTGGGCCACCTCTGCTGCTATAATTGGCTATTGCGAACGACTACTTGAGCTGGGTCGTGCTGGATCTTGATGAACATGAAAATGAGGCGAACACATCTAGACTGGCATGGTTATTGATACCGATGAAGATTCCTCCAACACCGTACCACGTGACCCTCAAGAAGGAATTCACCCCGGAGCTCACGTGAAAGGCTGCATCTGCGCTAGGATGGCTCCAAATTTGTCTTGGCCCAATGCCATGCTGACGGTTTAGCCCCAAGGGCGACGAATACTTACACACCTTACCACGAGACCACCTGTCCCAAATACGGTGCCGCCAACTTTTATCATTCGTCGTTAATGAACACCTGGATGGCAGCTGGTCCCACCGCAAATCTTCTCCCTTTCGCGTTCGAATAACGCTACTAGGCGTGTCTTCCGCCGGCCCACAATATCGAGAAGTGCCACCCACTGATCGAACATAAAGCGTGCGGATATTCTGTCGGACGGGCCAACAAGCAGGTCGGCGCCACGTCATACGTGTTCATCCAGGTACTAATCTGTCCATCCCTCTGCGTAGCGTCATCTCACTGGTTAACGCCACTCTACCGGCTCTCTAAATTATAGCTCTTTGCATTCTGCATTTATACCCTGGGAACCAAAATTTTCCCGGAGGCAGAAGCCCATAACTTACAATGGATGTGGCGGTTACCAATCATCCATCAGGATCACTATGCCCAAGGTGCTGTTAGAGCCGAGCTACGTGCAAACCCAAATTACAGATGTTGGGATTTTGAAGGAGTAGTGTCACAGGGGTGATAGTATACTGTGGGCGATATACAGCACATAGTATATATATGGAAATTTATTTAGATAATTTATTGTCCTATTGAGCCTATATCTATGTAATGATATGTAGGTCCTTTTTGCGTAAAGGCCGGGAGTATCTATGGCTCGGGTAGTGTACTCCCTCCTATGCCTCCTTCACGACCTCTTTCCAGCAGTAATACCCCCACAGGTCTTCATTTGGGCACAAACTAAGAGGAGCCTTTATCCCGTTATTATCTTTCCTTGTTTCCAGTATCATTATCGTCGTCTTGGTCGTCTTAAATGTTGTCGGAAGCGTATTTTTGACTTGGTTGGAGATAACTCAGCTCAAGGTAGAAAGGTGTTATTCATTATCGACTCTGCAGAATCTGCCGTGAGAGCTGGAGGTTCGTTGGGGACGCTACTGACAGGTTTTGATTTGGTCCCCCTACATATTGTATCGTAGCTTTACAGATTGATGTGTTTAAGTTAGGCACAAAGGTTTGGTCGGCTTTCACATGACCAACCAGCTGACTAAGCCGCATTTCCTGGTATATTACACACACTGCACCATGGGTGATGTTCATCTAGATTATCTACATGACTTTGCTCAGGATTGAATGGTATTTACATTTATATCCTCTGGTTACTCCTCTGGTGGTACAAATCCTCCGTGCCCACTAAAATCCCTTTTTCACCACATCTTCTGTTCCTGTTAGTCATAGACTTAGTAGGGACTTCAACTTTATTCTATTCTGTTCCGGCTAAGGACTTTTGCATTCCCTTCCATAAGCTAGTTTTCCATTGACTAGATACAAGTGCCTGCGATTATTTATGTGATCTTCACGATATGACTGTCCAAATCTAGTGTGCATCCTTAGTCATGGGTTTCTAGATGGTGTTACCCGAGCCATCTAATGTCAATCCCCATGAATATACTGGTCATGTGGCCATCTGCCGCATAAGACGGCTATGAATAGATCCAAATTGGAGAATGGAACTAAAATTTGTCCGCGATGTCCTCTAAGAACCTGGGAATGAAATATCCTCCCAGAGTTAAGTTCAGTCAAGTTTCGCAATTCGATAGAAGTTGGCCCATGAGCCAATCATTCAGAGTGCTCCGTCATATCAAATTCTCACTCCTAGCGAGGTCGATTCCTGTCTAAGCCTCATCAAGTATACAGGTACGTCCCAGTGAATTTTCTTGTGCACGTTAGTAATAATCAAATGAAAAATGTTAACTGAGATTCACGGATGTCTCGTGACTCTGACTACGACAATCTATGCATGTGTAGCGCTTGAAACTAGGTGTAAACTTGTATTTCTGATAACGTTCTAACTTGTCCTTAAATACATGAAATTCCCCATACTTCAGATGATTCAACGATCAATAATACATGGCAAAATAAACTATCAGAGTACAGGAAGAGAGGAGTAGAGTGCTTGGCAGCCTGGATTGTGACCAAAGAGCATGAGGGGTGCTTTCTCGATGGGACCTTGAAACTCGGCGACTCGCTTGACGTGAGATTTGGCATTTCGCTTGAGCTTGGAGTTCAGGATCCTCACCAGTACATGCTTATTCCAATGATCGAACCTTTTGTCGACTTTCTCCAGCCCCAGCTGCTCACAAAATACACGCCCACACCGATGTTCATACCCGTCAGAAGAAGTAAAGCGTGGCGCACAAATCTGGGAGACAGTTCTTTGGGATGGACGTGAGAGAAATTAGGGCAAGTTTAGAAACTGATGCAAAGGAAGGATATAACCTGGATGACCGTGATTTTGAAATTTTGGCAATGAATTTTAGGAATTGGGCTTTGTGTGCGCCAGGTCTACGATTGCGGATGTGCCATTGAAACTTGGGAAAAATTAACGACGGAGGTGTTGTGGTCCGCCTCCTAGTGGATTTCTCCGGTATAGTCTGAGTAGCCTGGGCACCTAATTCACTTGGGAAGAAGACACCTCAGATACATTTCGCGCGGAGAAAGTCAGTGGACGATGGAGGCATGCCTGGATCACTCAGGGTTTCGAAGTCGTTCCCCTGGATGGGTATTCACGGGTGAGGATTGACTTGGGGTGAAGAAAAAGCCACCAAAACTTCGCAGTGGTAATTGCAAATGAAATCCGAGGCATGAGTGCTCTTCTTGTAAATTGAGTCATCTTTTCTGTACTTTTCTTTGATATTGTATCATAGCTAGATAGCTGCATACGCAATTAAAATCTGATGCAAAAAAATAAACTCAAACTTTACCTGATATTACCGCCAGAAGGCAGACCACGGCACCTTCCAACGTTGACTTGCGTCCCCAGTGTCACCGGCACATTCGCAGTCGTAGTCCTGGCGCGCGCACAAAGCCCAATCCCTAATACTCCTTGCCGAAATTTTAAAATCACGGTTATCGATGTTATATCCTTCCGCTGCATCATCTGGGTAACTTGGCCCGATTTCTCTCACGTCCATGCCAAAGAATTGTCACCTAAATTTTTGCGCTAAGATTTGTCTCCTCCTTCGTATGTTCGTATTGTCGTGGTCTGTTTTGGTGGCCAGCTGAGGCGGGATATTCAGTCGATGAGAGATGTACCCATAGAAATGGGGATGGACCTGGTCATTCATGTAAATGTGATGAAGCCATGGCGGAAATCCATCTCGATGAGAATAGTCGATCGATGTGGCGGAGTAATTTGAAACATTGAGTCATGGGCCAACTTCTTTGATATTGCAAAATTTGACTAGACTTGGCTCTGGGAAGATATCTCACACACAGGCTCGTTGAGGACACCGAGTACAGGGGTTCAGTCCTTATCTTCCTGGCGTCCTCTTCTAACGTTTCATATCCCAGCTGCTTATCCTGCCCCTAGTTGTAAGGGCAATTAGAGCAATCTTCACCCACAAGCCAGGCCTCGAGCTTCGTGTGTGCTATGATTTAGTTTCCTTCATGCGCGCACGCAAAGCATGAAAATTAACGTGACTAGAATCTTTGGTTGGCTTCTCAAACTCATTCAATGAGTCTTAGACTCAACAGCGACCATATTGAAAATCTAATCTAATCAAAAGCATTGTAATTTACCAACGGGAGAAGGCTGGTAACTAATGGGGCAAGCTCCCGTTTGTAATCAAACGAACCCACTGATCGGGAGGACAGAGGCTGAGCACCTATCATTAGCGTCGTGTACGAAGGTGGGAGAGATATATTATCTCTAGTCCGAGGTTCTGCCACGAACAAAGGTGGGATAAATTATATTAGATGGATTGTCGGCCAGAACTCGATGTTCCCGCTTGTTTAGTCTAAAAATGTGTCGATAGAGATGTTACGACGGCAAGAATTCAAACAACAATTCATCACCACCAAGATACGATTCTCGAGCGGGCCTAAATCTCTCTAGGGGTCATATTCAAAAAATAATCGATGCCCCTCAAACTCCTAATACATTTGCGACGACGCATTTCTCGGCTTATTCTACACCTGCGAGTTACCTCACACTCAACACATCATCTACCCACACAGACCTTAATGAGTTAATTTATGATGGAAACGGGACATGCAAAAAGCAAAAGAGTGGGAATTTACACGTATGGGATGTCATAGATCCCATTAGATGACAACAACTAAGCGGTATGATGAGTATGTGCAAGGCCAGGACAACGCCGGGATCTGGGCCGACATATAAATCTTGGAGTCAATGAGAATGTCAGCTGCTCGTGCACGTGGTATCCGAGGCTGAGGAGGGATTCACACTAAGGCGTATATACAGCGGGTTTCTGGACAGTCAGGCTTGGTATGATTCAAGACATAGATGTGATAGCACAAGGTTCAGGAAAGACTACGACTAAATGCAAAACAATCCTATGATTGTAATCTACAGAGAAAGGAGGACAGGTCGGCTAACTAAACAATGTATATACATAAAAGGGGCTAGATGGTGCAGTGATATACCGTTCAGGCCGTTCTCCCAAGTAGAATCTGGGTAGCTTGAACACTAACCCCATTTGAGACGGGAGAAAACTGGGTCGAATCCAGTAAATCCCATATCCCACTCTCTCTCGTGGTGGTATTGCACTTGTGGGGCGATGAGAGCACACTCGGATAATTACATGTTTTTCACGCTTTTCCCTGTGGTGGGTTTGCACGGAAGAGGTTATCGCCGTAAGGGTTAACCTCGAGTGGTATCTTCAAATGAAATCTGAGTGTGAGTGTTCTAAACGTCAAATTGAGTCATCCTACTTGGAGCACATATCTTCCAATATAAACCTGCATGGGTCTCAAGGCATCAAGTTAGGAAAATTTAACTAATTATTTACTTATTGTCGGAAAGTAATTCAAATTGCTTAGCACTAAGCGTAGTGCATCTCTCAGTTGCGGAGTCATTGCCATGATTACTCAGCCAATACCCCGACCTACACGTTCGCAAAGCTCTTAAAAAGAGAATGAAATAATACAAACCTCACTTTCGTACCTTTCGTTTTGCATCGAACTAACCTTACATATGCGTAAATTAAGGCCGATTGACACTTATACTAGTTTCTTAGTGTACTGCGGTAGCTCTTAGTACCGTGACAATGTGCCTTGCTCGCCCTTCCAAATTCGTGGAGATGAGCAAGTTCTCAACTGAAGGGAGGGAAAATGCCCTCCCCGCCGTCACTGAGCCCGATGCTGACATGATTAGGTCAGTTGAAACTGTTGAGGAAATTCTCAACCAGCCTCCGTCGCCCACGGGATGGGAGGGTCAACCAAATCTCCTCCGACTACATCAAGACCATCGGAGAAATCTGCACAAAATACATCTTCAACGTAAGAGTCGCAGCCTACAGCCGCCGCTCGAGCAGTTTGCTCTCTAGAACTTCGACTAATAGTCGAAGCCGAACAACGACAAACGTGGCACTCTATTCAGCCACTTTCTCCCACGTCGAAGCAACCCTTCTTCACTTGACCAACGGGTCAAACACACAACTCGTAGACTATATGGGAGTCTGCCTACGCACCGCCATTGCGCAATATATGGCTTTGATCCCAATTCTGCCTTTAAAAAATTACCCGGGCTACGGTAGCCAAAAACGGATAGCGACAAGCAGCAGTCTCTATAGTAAAGACCGTGGCCGCAGGTTGCGGCCACGGTCTCGAAAAAAGAAGCTTCCAAGGCGAAAGCCGACAAACGACTATTTCTTCGCCTTTGGAGTGACCATCTATGGCGGAAACTATCTCACCAGGGTGCTATAGCTGCCGTTGGGTGGCTTATCTGCAACGGCAATCACATCGACTCAGTTTATCGAATCAAGTCCGGAACTGCCTTTCTACCAAATTCCGAAGTAAAAAGACAGGTTCTTCTAGATACCTCAAAGAGATTGGCGAGACTCAACGCAAAAATCGAACCACTTTCGGAACTTGTCGCCCTTAGGAACCCCAACGTGCCCGTGAAGGTCACTATGGAGCACGGAGATGGGACGCTATGCGGACTATGGCTCGTGGACGAAATTAAACGAGTGACTGGCATGCCCTCTTCTATCGGGACTCTGCTCCCCGTGCAGGCTTCCGCCTCTTCAACGAGTCTGCTATTGCTACCATCCACAAGCCTCGTCGAACAAACGAACAGTGCAAACGCTGTTTGGGCGTCCATGATACTCGTGGCTGCTCCAGCACTCCAGCCCGCTGGAACTGCGGAACAAATATGCACTCTGAAATGGAATGTAAGGCCCTCACTTGATGTCGCAACTGTTGAGGACCTCACCGATGTGATTCCTGTCGGTTTATCACCGGTTCAAGATTATGTGCTAGCACAAAGAATGGGTAACAGAGTTATTGATCTAAAAACTTATATCTCTCTATCTCTATCATGAGTATAGAACGGAAGTAAACCCCAACACCGCACTGACACCACGTGACTAATATCCGTATACTTCTCCCATAGGTACCCTACCAACGCCAATATTCATACAATTCCCAGGACTACCAAGCCAGACTCAGAAAGTCCGGACCGACGACAAAAGAGCACCTCGCGTGGATTCGCCACATCGAGCAAGGGAGGTTCAAGGAGGTAGTACGAGCTCGGGCTGCAGCTAAAAGGGCTGAAGAGGCGATGATCGCCTCAGAAAAGGATGTCTCAATGGCTGAGGAAGCAGGTTTTGGAGAACTGGACTCTGAAGAAGAAGCTTGAGGACACAGCGACCTCGACGATGTCCCCTTCTGGGGCATCCACTAACAATTAGCAGGATACCGGCTGGATCAAAGGTGCCTGCTAACTCATCTTTCGCTCTCAGCATAGAAGGAGTAAATTTGTCATTTGGAAGGTGTGACAGACGAGAGAATGTGTGAGGAGCGCATTGGCTGGGTCCAATATGGAGGAATCTTCTGTCATTCGGAGTTATTTTGATTTTCTTGATTTTTCGTTTGTGTTCAATCAGCTGCACTTTTGGTAGCGATTCACGAGGTTGGAACGAGTTGGGCTGTAGGAAAAGTTACAGGGAAACCTGCCGGCTCTAGCGGTGTGTGTGTGTTTTTATTGTACTACTTGAGTCTATGACTATCTAGCACATTGGGCTCCTCTCTGACCCAGACCACACAGTGTACAGTGCTCCTATCCTCTTTTGTTGCTTGAAAGATCATTGATATATTCCCCTTAATGAATAGCCATTCAGCTCAGTGTTTACCCGTGGAATTCGGCCACCTTTTCCACGGAACCTTCTATCCAAAAAAATAAAATAGTAGCAATGGAAACTGCGTGCT